GACGATTTGTTGGAAAATTTTTGAAAAATTGAAAAACTAAAAAAATCGAAAAATTGCAGAAAAGTAAAATAACAAAATTGAAAAATTGCAAATGGAAGAAATGAAGAAACGAAAAATTGAAACGTTGGAAAACTAAAAATCGAGAAAGTTAAAAATCGAAAAACACCAATGGATCAAAAAATTGGAAAACCCAAAAATTGTAAAATCGGAAAGTTATCTACAATTTGACACCAATTTCCAGTCGATTGAACCAATTTTGACTATTTTTTGGAAATTTTTTTGAAAAATTGAAAAACTAAAAAAATCGAAAAATTGCAGAAAAGTAAAATAACAAAATTGAAAAATTGCAAATGGAAGAAATGAAGAAACGAAAAATTGAAACGTTGGAAAACTAAGAATCGAGAAAGTTAAAAATCGAAAAACATCAATGGATCAAAAAATTGGAAAACCCAAAAATTGTAAAATCGGAAAGTTATCTACAATTTGACACCAATTTTCAGTCGATTGAACCAATTTTGACGATTTTTTGGAAAATTTTTGAAAAATTGAAAAACTAAAAAAATCGAAAAATTGCAGAAAAGTAAAATAACAAAATTGAAAACTTGCAAATGGAAGAAATGAAGAAACGAAAAATTGAAACGTTGGAAAACTGAAAATCGAGAAAGTTAAAAATCGAAAAACATCAATGCATCAAAAATTGGAAAACCCAAAAATTGTAAAATCGGAAAGTTATCTACAATTTGACACCAATTCCCAGTAGATTGAACCAATTTTGACGATTTTTTGGAACATTTTTGAAAAATTGAAAAACTAAAAAAATCGAAAAATTGCAGAAAAGTAAAATAACAAAATTGAAAAATTGCAAATGGAAGAAATGAAGAAACAAAAAATTGAAACGTTGGAAAACTAAAAATCGAGAAAGTTAAAAATCGAAAAACATCAATGGATCAAAAAATTGGAAAACCCAAAAATTGTAAAATCGGAAAGTTATCTACAATTTGACACCAATTTTCAGTCGATTGAACCAATTTTGACGATTTTTTGGAAAATTTTTGAAAAATTGAAAAACTAAAAAAATCGAAAAATTGCAGAAAAGTAAAATAACAAAATTGAAAAATTGCAAATGGAAGAAATGAAGAAACGAAAAATTGAAACGTTGGAAAACTAAAAATCGAGAAAGTTAAAAATCGAAAAACATCAATGGATCAAAAAATTGGAAAACCCAAAAATTGTAAAATCGGAAAGTTATCTACAATTTGACACCAATTTTCAGTCGATTGAACCAATTTTGACGATTTTTTGGAAATTTTTTGAAAAATTGAAAAACTAAAAAAATCGAAAAATTGCAGAAAAGAAAAATAATAAAATTGAAAAATTGCAAATGGAAGAAATGAAGAAACGAAAAATTGAAACGTTGGAAAACTAAAAATCGAGAAAGTTAAAAATCGAAAAACATCAATGGATCAAAAAATTGGAAAACCCAAAAATTGTAAAATCGGAAAGTTATCTACAATTTGACACCAATTTTCAGTCGATTAAACCAATTTTGACGATTTGTTGGAAAATTTTTGAAAAATTGAAAAACTAAAAAAATCGAAAAATTGCAGAAAAGTAAAATAACAAAATTGAAAAATTGCAAATGGAAGAAATGAAGAAACGAAAAATTGAAACGTTGGAAAACTAAAAATCGAGAAAGTTAAAAATCGAAAAACACCAATGGATCAAAAAATTGGAAAACCCAAAAATTGTAAAATCGGAAAGTTATCTACAATTTGACACCAATTTCCAGTCGATTGAACCAATTTTGACTATTTTTTGGAAATTTTTTTGAAAAATTGAAAAACTAAAAAAATCGAAAAATTGCAGAAAAGTAAAATAACAAAATTGAAAAATTGCAAATGGAAGAAATGAAGAAACGAAAAATTGAAACGTTGGAAAACTAAAAATCGAGAAAGTTAAAAATCGAAAAACATCAATGGATCAAAAAATTGGAAAACCCAAAAATTGTAAAATCGGGAAGTTATCTACAATTTGACACCAATTTTGACGATTTTTTGGAAAATTTTTGAAAAATTGAAAAACTAAAAAAAATCGAAAAATTGCAGAAAAGTAAAATAACAAAATTGAAAAATTGCAAATGGAAGAAATGAAGAAACGAAAAATTGAAACGTTGGAAAACTAAAAATCGAGAAAGTTAAAAATCGAAAAACATCAATGGATCAAAAATTGGAAAACCCAAAAATTGTAAAATCGGAAAGTTATCTACAATTTGACACCAATTTCCAGTGGATTGAACCAATTTTGACGATTTTTTGGAAAATTTTTGAAAAATTGAAAAACTAAAAAAATCGAAAAATTGCAGAAAAGTAAAATAACAAAATTGAAAAATTGCAAACGGAAGAAATGAAGAAACGAAAAATTGAAACATTGGAAAACTAAAAATCGAGAAAGTTAAAAATCGAAAAACATCAATGGATCAAAAATTGGAAAACCCAAAAATTGTAAAATCGGAAAGTTATCTACAATTTGACACCAATTTCCAGTAGATTGAACCAATTTTGATGATTTTTTCGAAAATTTTCGAAAAATTGAAAAACTAAAAAAATCGAAAAATTGCAGAAAAGTAAAATAACAAAATTGAAAAATTGCAAATGGAAGAAATGAAGAAACGAAAAATTGAAACGTTGGAAAACTAAAAATCGAGAAAGTTAAAAATCGAAAAACATCAATGGATCAAAAATTGGAAAACCCAAAAATTGTAAAATCGGAAAGTTATCTACAATTTGACACCAATTCCCAGTAGATTGAACCAATTTTGACGATTTTTTGGAACATTTTTGAAAAATTGAAAAACTAAAAAAATCGAAAAATTGCAGAAAAGTAAAATAACAAAATTGAAAAATTGCAAATGGAAGAAATGAAGAAACAAAAAATTGAAACGTTGGAAAACTAAAAATCGAGAAAGTTAAAAATCGAAAAACATCAATGGATCAAAAAATTGGAAAACCCAAAAATTGTAAAATCGGAAAGTTATCTACAATTTGACACCAATTTTCAGTCGATTGAACCAATTTTGACGATTTTTTGGAATTTTTTTGAAAAATTGAAAAACTAAAAAAATCGAAAAATTGCAGAAAAGAAAAATAATAAAATTGAAAAATTGCAAATGGAAGAAATGAAGAAACGAAAAACTGAAACGTTGGAAAACTAAAAATCGAGAAAGTTAAAAATCGAAAAACATCAATGGATCAAAAAATTGGAAAACCCAAAAATTGTAAAATCGGAAAGTTATCTACAATTTGACACCAATTTCCAGTCGATTGAACCAATTTTGACGATTTTTTGGAAAATTTTTGAAAAATTGAAAAACTAAAAAAATCGAAAAATTGCAGAAAACTAAAATAACAAAATTGAAAAATTGCAAATGGAAGAAATGAAGAAACGAAAAACTGAAACGTTGGAAAACTAAAAATCGAGAAAGTTAAAAATCGAAAAACATCAATGGATCAAAAAATTGGAAAACCCAAAAATTGTAAAATCGGAAAGTTATCTACAATTTGACACCAATTTCCAGTCGATTGAACCAATTTTGACGATTTTTTGGAAAATTTTTGAAAAATTGAAAAACTAAAAAAATCGAAAAATTGCAGAAAAGTAAAATAACAAAATTGAAAAATTGCAAACGGAAGAAATGAAGAAACGAAAAATTGAAACATTGGAAAACTAAAAATCGAGAAAGTTAAAAATCGAAAAACATCAATGGATCAAAAATTGGAAAACCCAAAAATTGTAAAATCGGAAAGTTATCTACAATTTGACACCAATTTTCAGTCGATTGAACCAATTTTGACGATTTTTTGGAAAATTTTTGAAAAATTGAAAAACTAAAAAAATCGAAAAATTGCGGAAAAGTAAAATAACAAAACTGAAAAATTGATAAACTAAAAAAATCGAAAAATTGCGGAAAAGTAAAATAACAAAACTGAAAAATTGCCAATGGAAGAAATGAAGAAACGAAAAATTGAAACGTTGGAAAACTAAAAATCGAGAAAGTTAAAAATCGAAAAACATCAATGGATCAAAAATTGGAAAACCCAAAAATTGTAAAATCGGAAAGTTATCTACAATTTGACACCAATTTTCAGTCGATTGAACCAATTTTGACGATTTTTTGGAAAATTTTTGAAAAATTGAAAAACTAAAAAAATCGAAAAATTGCAGAAAAGTAAAATAACAAAATTGAAAAATTGCAAATGGAAGAAATGAAGAAACGAAAAATTGAAACGTTGGAAAACTAAAAATCGAGAAAGTTAAAAATCGAAAAACATCAATGGATCAAAAAATTGGAAAACCCAAAAATTGTAAAATCGGAAAGTTATGGAATCGTCAAAGTTGCAAAGTCGAAAAACGTAACATTGAAAGATCGAGAACTGAAAAAGTAAATGTCGAGAAATTGAAAAATTAAGTTGAATAAATGAAAAAGTGAAATTTTTTTTAAATTATTATTAATTACATATTTAAAGCGAAAACTAGAAAAACTGCAAATTAAAAATTAAAGAAATGAAAAATTGAAAAATCGAGAAACTGAGAAATCTAAAATTGAAAAAACGAAAAATTACAGAATCTAAAAGCTAAAAAATTTCACACTGAAAAACGAAAAATTGAAATAGAAAAAACAATTATAAAATCGGAACATTGGAAAATCCAAAAATGTAAAAATAAAGAAAATTAAAAAACGAACCATAAACTGCAAATCGAAAATTTGAAGAAATGAAAAATTCCAGATTGGAAAAATTAAAAAATTAAAAATTGTGTCTTCAAAGAAGTCGTCGTTCGAAAATTCAATTAATTTTATGGAGTTGCTTCTGTGTTTAAGAAATGCTTACACAGCACAGGGGGCCTTCGCATGCTGCCACAGCTTCCCACGCATATTATAAACACATCGAACATTAATAAATTTGAAAAAAATATGCTTACGCCAACAAATCCGACCCAGTCGAGCTTGTACAATGGGAAGGAACAACTACTGCATTAAATCTTGCGTCGGTGTTGTGATTTTTTTGGACACTGTAAGTACGTATTTTTGACACCTCACGATGCTAAAACCAGTGTTTTCAGGGCGGCGGTTTGTATAAAATAGTCGAAACGGTGGTTAAGGCCGAAGAAATCGAACCTCGACTATTGGCTGTCCAGATCGTCGCGGGTCTGTTACTAATCCTCAGCGGAGTGTTGCTGCTGATGGGTGCAGTAAAGGTAAAAAACCGTCCGCATTGGTACACCCTTAAGAAGATTGTTTCAGAGGGAACCGAAATACGTTCTGTCCCATATTGTTCTCGTCGGTATTTGTTTGTTTCTAGCTATAATCGGGTTTCTGGTTATACTCTTAATTTTCCTGGGCAACACAACGAACGTAGGTGCTATAATAATATTTATTTCAGCGGCCGTACTTTTTTGGCGAATTTGTTTGGAATATAGTGTGTATCTGTTTTATAAAAACATGAATAGTGAGAGTCTGACTGTTTAAATTAAGTTTGCCTTAAAGAAATAAAGTCTTGAAACGTTAGGTGGTGTTTTGTCACTTATTGAAACTTAAATCATGTTATTTCAAAATTTTCATAATTCGTATGTGTTATTTATGATTTCGCCGAAAAATAAAAACTAAACAGAAGTATTTGATTTTCATTACCATAATTATCTCGCGAGTATAATAAACATCGCTCAGGATTAGTGTCACTTGAACTCAAAATCTCGGATTTCATATATTTTTTAACTGGAAGCATCATCTTCGATACCACTGGACTGATTATTATGAAATATGTAGTAACTTTGATGACGTCGTTTCAAAATTTTGCAAGAAGTTTTTTACACAGTTTCAAAAAAAGGGTCACCGAATAACCTCTGCTCCGCCTCGTCAAAAAATTATTTCTGACGTTGTTTCTTCGCCTGTTCGGAAATTTCAGCGGGTATTTCCTACTAATAACCGTCCTCCTCCTCTGCATTTCTCCGTAACCAGTTTTCGTTAAAACCATCAGCGCGCACGTTTATAAAACTCTTGTCCGCGCAGAAGACCCTCAGTAACGCTTGATCTTGAGTTGACACAATGGCGCGAAACGACTGCTGTCTTCATTTCTGGGTCGGCTTGATGGCCTTCCTCCAAATCGTAAGTAACTTAAACATCTGAGTGCATCCACTTACCATATTATTTAAGACCGCCGGAGTGTTCAGAATAATCCAAGGATTTATGCTTATCGGAGAAGTGAATTCCGTGACGCTGTGGATTTCCTTCGTGTTTGCCGTGGTGTCTTTGGTTAGCGGCTCGTTACTGGCACACGGTGCCCACAAGGTAAAAGTAGCTCATTTGTTGTTTTCGCTTAACGATTTGTGTTTTAGAAAAAACCCAAGCTAGTTTTCGCCCACATCGTCATAACTGTCACTTGTATAGTTTTAAGTGTGATCAGTTTGCTGATTATAGACTTTTTCATGTATGCGTACACGGGGGATAGTCGTGGTATATTGGCTGGGGCTTATGTGGTAGTTATTGTCATCCTCCTTGGTTGGGAGTGTGCCGTGTACAACTTTTATACAAATCTGAAGAGTGAACTGCAAGATGAGGACACCCAAGTGACTTATAAAGTGTGACGAAGAAAATTGACACTTGTGTGAAGCGAATGTGTACTGTTTTTATTACGTAACTAGTCGTAAATTTTGTTATTTTTTATTTTTGTTACGTTGAATAGGCGAATAAAATCGGCGTGGCTTAAACTCAACAATTTATTTCTTAATAACTCGAAGAATCCCGGCGTGACTCTATTTAAACCCACACTTCGGCGATCAAGGTCTTTCTCGAATTGGGTATTCGCGACTTCCGCTTCCAGGCTTTCCTTTAGTGAACGCCGCCGATGAGTCATACTACATACGAGACGAAACCCATAAGCGTCGTACCGGGGCTGCGTATGGGTTAATTTCGTAACATTATTATACAGGGTGAGTATTATAATAATGGAACCCTGACCAAATTTTGAACAGCAAGGAGAGTACCTACGTTGATCCGAAAATCGTATGTGTTAATTTTGGAATCTAGCAATAACTAATAGATGTAGTATGTTGTGCTGCATGTGTAAGAAAAGTGTTTTTGTCGATCATTTCACGATCCACGCTCTTTCCAAACAAAAAATTCGCTAAAGTAAACGGTTGCAAATATTTTCATGTTTCCATATTTTCCCAGAAGACGGAATTAAAAATAAACGGAGGATTTTATCGATGTAAATACACCAGAATGTAATAACAACTCTGCCGCTAAGTGTAAAAATTGGTTGTTTCTGCACGATCTCCTAGTCTTACAGTTTTACTCGATCACTCCTCCAAAAAACATGCGTTCTCTCTAGTCGTACTAAGAAAATTTCAAACACCACTAAAATGTGGAAGAACAACAAATACCTCAACTACTTGTGCATCGGGGTCGTCATTTTCTCCCAGATCGTAAGTAATTTAACCGTACTACATAATTCAAACCTTCCCCGTGTTCAAGATTAGTGGATTCCTGCAACAAGTTAATTTACTACCTCACCTGAACAAGGAACACGAACACTTGAACAACTTGCATAAAAGCACGCTTCATCTGTGCGTGCTTTTAAATCTGACGGGGATACTCAGCGGTTTTTCGCTACTTTTTGCAGTGATTTTGGTAAGGCGAACCGTTTTTGACGAACGACTCAAAATCGACTTTTTTCAGCGACAAACAAAGCTCGTCTTGTGTCACATCACCATGAACGCTGTGTGTGCAGTGGTGGTTTTAATTTATTTCGTCGTGGTAGTGTGCCTTAAAAAATTGGTAATCGATTTAGTGTTTGATAGTTTGTTAATTACTACCGCCGTCTATGTCTTTGTTTGTTTTTTGGAGTACTCGGTTTATTTGTACTATAAGGAGATGTTGAAAGAGAGAGAGAAAGAAGATGATGTGACGGAGTTGGTCACGAATGAGTGTGTGACTTAAATTATGGGGTCCATTTTAATATAAGGCAGAAAGTTGTCGTTTTTCTAACTACATTTGTGTTAAATGTTGGAAGAAATACAATAACTTTTTTGGTGAATTTGTTGGAATATAGTGAGTAGCTGTTTTATAAAAACATGAATAGTGAGAGTCTGACTGTTTAAATTAAGTTTGCCTTAAAGAAATAAAGTCTTGAAACGTTAGGTGGTGTTTTGTCACTTATTGAAAGTTAAATCATGTTATTTCAAAATTTTCATAACTCGTATGTGTCATTTATGATTTCGCTGAAAAATAAAAACTAAACATTAGTGTTTGAATTTCATTACCATAATTATCTCGCGAGTATAATAAACATCGCTCTTTCAAATCTTATCTATGGTGACTAAGACTAAACTAAACTAAGCTAATCGGCTACTTCGCAAGCCAGGCTTAGTGTCACTTGAATTCAAAATCTTGGATTTCCGTCTTTTTTAGTTCATATATTTTTTAACTGGATGGATCATCTTCGATACCACTGGACTGATTACACTAGTTTACAAATTTAAACTTTTTTTCGTATCCAAAAATAAAAAAAATATTTTTTACTTCTAAATTACTTACTGATAACAAATCCAAAAACGGATTATCCTTATCACGTCAGGTTTTTTCATAAATCAAAAATAATGAACTTTGCTCTTACCTTCACGTTAGTGTCAAATTGATTCATGTTAAAGCACCATTGTCGTGTAAAAAATGTCTTCGAGATCGTGCAAAGTAAGTGCAAATCAGTTTTGATATGTTTATGGTAAAATTATAGTACCTAAAGCAAGACCTGTTCAAATATGCTTAAAAAGAAGGTATCAAGGATTTTGGGACGAAAATGTGTAACTGTTGGTCTATTATAAGGGAAAGTGTCAGTACTGTCAATAAAAGAAACGCTACTGTTTATCATTTTTAATTTTCAGTCATAATGTTTATAATATATACTAGGTGTTGCTTTTATTTGATACAACCCCTGTAACTTCTTTATTCTTAAAGATAAACCTGTATTTCTTTGAGCAAATTTGTATCATTTTAAAAGATCTTTGTGAGGCCAACCTCACATTTTAATTATCACTTCCCGTAGAAAAATCAAAAGCAACCAATTATTCTAAAATCAATACTTGAAAAATTTTAAATAAAACATTGATGACAATCTAGTAGCTTGAAAAATTGACACTCATGTTATTTATTTACGTAAATGATCTTTTAAAATGATACAAATTTGCTCAAAAACTATATTTTCATATATATTTAAAAATAAAAACGTTACAAGAGTTGTATAAAAGAAAAGAAATACGGGGTATGTTTATATAAATATCTCAAAAACCTGACGTGATAGATTTTTTTCTGCTTTCAGATTTGAATTTCCCGAACCCAAATCCTTTAGATTCAACTATTTTTGTCTTTGGATATAAAACCTTGTAAACTAGTGTTATCATGAAATATGTAGTAACTATGATGACCTCTGCTTCGCCTCGTCAAAACATTATTTCTGACGTTTTTTCTTCGCCTGTTGGGAAATTTCAGCAGGTATTGCCTGCTAATAACTGTCCTCCTCCTCTACATTTCTCCATAACTAGTTCTCGTTAAAAACAACAGCGCGCACGTTTATAAAAGTCTTGTCCGCGCAGAAAACCCTCAGTAACGCTTGATCTTAAGTTGACACAATGGCGCGAAACGATTGCTGTCTTCATTTCTGGGTCGGCTTGATGGCCTTCCTCCAAATCGTAAGTAACTTAAACATCTGAGTGCATCCACTTACCGTATTATTTAAGACCGCCGGAGTGTTCAGAATAATCCAAGGACTTATGCTTATCGGAAATGTGGATTCCGAGACGCTGTGTATTTTCTTCTTGTTTGCCGTGGTGTCCTTGGTTAGCGGCTCGTTACTGGCACACGGTGCCCACAAGGTAAAAGTAGCTCATTTGTTAGTTTTCGCTTAACGATTTGTGTTTTAGAAAAAACCCAAGCTAGTTTTCGCCCACATCGTCATGACTGTCATTTGTATGGTTTTGAGTGTAATCGGTTTGCTGATTATAGTCTTTTTCGTGGATGGGTACACGGGGGATAGTCTTGCTATAGTCGCTGGGGCTTATGTGGTTGTTCTTTTCATCCTCGTTGGTTTGGAGTGTGCCGTGTACAACTTTTATACAAATCTGAAGAGTGAACTTCAAGATGAGGACACCCAAATGACTTATAAAGTGTGACGAAGAAAATTAACACTCGTGTGAAGCGAGTGTCTGCTGTTTTTATTACGTAACTAGTCTGTATATATCGTTATTTTTTTACTTTTGTTACGTTGAATAGGCGAATAAAATCGGCGTGGCTTAAACTCAACTCGAATTTACTTTACAAAACAATCCCGGCGTGACTCTATTTAAACCCATACTTCGACGATCAAGGTCTTTCTCGAATTGGGTATTCGCGACTGCCGCTTCCAGGCTTTGCTTTAGTGAACGCCGCCGATGAGTCATACTACATACGAGACGAAACACATAAGCGTTGTACCGGGGCTGCGTATGGGTTAATTTGGTAACATTATTATACAGGGTGAGTATTATAATAATGGGACCCTGACCAAATTTTGAACAGCAAGGAGAGTACCTACGTTGATCCGAAAAACGTATGTGTTAATTTTGGAATCTAGCAATAACTAATAGATGTAGTATGTTGTGCTGCATGTGTAAGAAAAGTGTTTTTATCGATCATTTCACGATCCACGCGCTTTCCAAACAAAAAACTCCTTAAGTAAACAGTTGCAAATATTTTCATGTTTCCATATTTTCCCAGAAGACGGAATTAAAAATAAACGCAGGATTTTATCGATGTAAATACACCAGAATGTAATAACAACTCTGCCGCTAAGTGTAAAAATTGGTTGTTTCTGCACGATCTCCCAGACTTACAGTTTTGCTCGACCACTCCTCCAAAAAACATGCGTTTTGTCTAGTCCTACTTTAGAAAATTCCTAAACACCACTAAAATGTGGAAGAACAACAAATACCTCAACTATTTGTGCATCGGGGTCGTCATTTTCTCCCAGATCGTAAGTAATTTAACCGTACTACATAATTCAAACCTACCCCGTGTTCAAGATTAGTGGATTCCTGCAACAAGTTAATTTACTACCTCACCTGAACAAGGAACACGAACACTTGAACAACTTGCATAAAAGCACGCTTCATTTGTGCGTTCTTTTAAATCTGACGGGGATACTCAGCGGTTTTTCGCTACTTTTTGCAGTGATTTTGGTAAGGCGATCCGTTTTTGACGAACGACTCAAAATCGATTTTTTTCAGCGACAAACAAAGCTCGTCTTGTGTCACATCACCATGAACGCTGTGTGTGCAGTGGTGGTTCTAATTTATTTCGTAGTGGTAGTATGCCTTAAAAAATTGGTAATCGATTTAGTGTTTGATAGTTTGTTAATTACTACAGCCGTCTATACCTTTGTTTGTTTTTTGGAGTATTCGGTTTATTTGTACTATAAGGAGATGTTGAGAGAGAGAGAGAAAGAACATGATGTGACGGAGTTGGTCACGAATGAGTGTGTGACTTAAATTATGGGGTCCATTTTAGTATAAGGCAGAAAGTTGTCGTTTTTCTAACTATATTTGTGTTAACTGTTGGAAGAAATACAATAACTTTTTTGGCGAATTTGTTTGGAATATAGTATCTGTTTTACAAAAACATGGATAGTGAGAGTCTGACTGTTTAAATTAAGTTTGCCTTAAAGAAATAAAGTCTTGAAACGTTAGGTGGTGTTTTGTCACTTATTGAAAGTTAAATCATGTTATTTCAAAATTTTCATAACTCGTATGTGTCATTTATGATTTCGCCGAAAAATAAAAACTAAACATTAGTGTTTGAATTTCATTACCATAATCATCTCGCGAGTATAATAAACATCGCTCTTTCAAATCTTATCTATGGTGACTAAGACTAAACTAAACTAAGCTAATCGGCTACTTCGCAAGCCAGGCTTAGTGTCACTTGAACTCAAAATCTTGGATTTCCGTCTTTTTTAGTTCATATATTTTTTAACTGGATGGATCATCTTCGATACCACTGGACTGATTACACTAGTTTACAAATTTAAACTTTTTTTCGTATCCAAAGATAAAAAAAATATTTTTTACTTCTAAATTATTTACTGATAACAAATCCAAAAACGGATTATCCTTATCACGTCAGGTTTTTTCATAAATCAAAAATAATGAACTTTGCTCTTACCTTCACGTTAGTGTCAAATTGATCCATGTTAAAGCACCATTGTCGTGTAAAAAATGTCTTCGAGATCGTGCAAAGTAAGTGCAAATCAGTTTTGATATGTTTATGGTAAAATTATAGTACCTAAAGCAAGACCTGTTCAAATATGCTTAAAAAGAAGGTATCAAGGATTTTGGGACGAAAATGTGTAACTGTTGGTCTATTATAAGGGAAACTGTCTATACTGTCAATAAAAGAAACGCTACTGTTTATCATTTTTAATTTTCAGTCATAATGTTTATAATATATACTGGGTGTTGCTTTTATTTGATACAACCCCTGTAACTTCTTTATTCTTAAAGATAAACCTGTATTTCTTTGAGCAAATTTGTATAAATTTAAAAGATCTTTGTGAGGCCAACCTCACATTTTTGTTATCACTTCCCGTAGAAAAATCAAAAGCAACCAATTATTCTAAAATCAATACTAGAAAAATTTTAAATAAAACATTGATGACAATCTAGTAGCTTGAAAAATTGACACTCATGTTATTTATTTACGTAAATGATCTTTTAAAATGATACAAATTTGCTCAAAAACTATATTTTCATATATATTTAAAAATAAAAACGTTACAAGAGTTGTATAAAAGAAAAGAAATACGGGGTATGTTTATATAAATATCTCAAACACCTGACGTGATAGATTTTTTCTGCTTTCAGATTTGAATTTCCCGAACCCAAATCCTTTAGGTTCAACTATTTTTGTCTTTGGATATAAAACCTTGTAAATTAGTGTTATCATGAAATATGTAATAACTATGATGACCTCTGCTTCGCCTCGTCAAAACAGTATTTCTGACGTTTTTTCTTCGCCTGTTGGGAAATTTCAGCAGGTATTTCCTGCTAATAACTGTCCTCCTCCTATACATTTCTCCATAACTAGTTCTCGTTAAAAACAACAGCGCGCACGTTTATAAAAGTCTTGTCCGCGCAGAAAACCCTCAGTAACGCTTGATCTTAAGTTGACACAATGGCGCGAAACGACTGCTGTCTTCATTTCTGGGTCGGCTTGATGGCCTTCCTCCAAATCGTAAGTAACTTAAACATCTGAGTGCATCCACTTACCATATTATTTAAGACCGCCGGAGTGTTCAGAATAATCCAAGGACTTATGCTTATCGGAAATGTGGATTCCGAGACGCTGAGTATTTTCTTCTTGTTTGCCGTGGTGTCCTTGGTTAGCGGCTCGTTACTGGCACACGGTGCCCACAAGGTAAAAGTAGCTCATTTGTTAGTTTTCGCTTAACGATTTGTGTTTTAGAAAAAACCCAAGCTAGTTTTCGCCCACATCGTCATAACTGTCATTTGTATGGTTTTGAGTGTAATCGGTTTGCTGATTATAGTCTTTTTCGTGGATGGGTACACGGGGGATAGTCTTGCTATAGTCGCTGGGGCTTATGTGGTTGTTCTTTTCATCCTCGTTGGTTTGGAGTGTGCCGTGTACAACTTTTATACAAATCTGAAGAGTGAACTTCAAGATGAGGACACCCAAATGACTTATAAAGTGTGACGAAGAAAATTAACACTCGTGTGAAGCGAGTGTCTGCTGTTTTTATTACGTAACTAGTCTGTATATATCGTTATTTTTTTACTTTTGTTACGTTGAATAGGCGAATAAAATCGGCGTGGCTTAAACTCAACTCGAATTTACTTTACAAAACAATCCCGGCGTGACTCTATTTAAACCCATACTTCGACGATCAAGGTCTTTCTCGAATTGGGTATTCGCGACTGCCGCTTCCAGGCTTTGCTTTAGTGAACGCCGCCGATGAGTCATACTACATACGAGACGAAACACATAAGCGTTGTACCGGGGCTGCGTATGGGTTAATTTGGTAACATTATTATACAGGGTGAGTATTATAATAATGGGACCCTGACCAAATTTTGAACAGCAAGGAGAGTACCTACGTTGATCCGAAAAACGTATGTGTTAATTTTGGAATCTAGCAATAACTAATAGATGTAGTATGTTGTGCTGCATGTGTAAGAAAAGTGTTTTTATCGATCATTTCACGATCCACGCGCTTTCCAAACAAAAAACTCCTTAAGTAAACAGTTGCAAATATTTTCATGTTTCCATATTTTCCCAGAAGACGGAATTAAAAATAAACGCAGGATTTTATCGATGTAAATACACCAGAATGTAATAACAACTCTGCCGCTAAGTGTAAAAATTGGTTGTTTCTGCACGATCTCCCAGACTTACAGTTTTACTCGATCACTCCTCCAAAAAACATGCGTTCTCTCTAGTCGTACTAAGAAAATTTCCAACCACTAAAATGTGGAAGAACAACAAATACCTCAACTATTTGTGCATCGGGGTCGTCATTTTCTCCCAGATCGTAAGTAATTCAACCGTACTACATAATTCAAACCTACCCCGTGTTCAAGATTAGCGGATTCCTGCAACAAGTTAATTTACTACCTCACCTGAACAAGGAACACGAACACTTGAACAATTTGCATAAAAGCACGCTTCATCTGTGCGTTCTTTTAAATCTGACGGGGATACTCAGCGGTTTTTCGCTACTTTTTGCAGTGATTTTGGTAAGGCGATCCGTTTTTGACGAACGACTCAAAATGGGTTTTTTTCAGCGACAAACAAAGCTCGTCTTGTGTCACATCACCATGAACGCTGTGTGTGCGGTGGTGGTTCTACTTTATTTCGTAGTGGTAGTGTACCTTAAAAAATTGGTAATTGATTTAGTGTTTGATAGTTTGTTAATTACTACGGCCGTCTATGTCTTTGTTTGTTTTTTGGAGTATTCGGTTTATTTGTACTATAAGGAGATGTTGAAAGAGAGAGAGAAAGAAGATGATGTGACGGAGTTGGTCACGAATGAGTGTGTGACTTAAATTATGGGGTCCATTTTAATATAAGGCAGAAAGTTGTCGTTTTTCTAACTATATTTGTGTTAACTGTTGGAAGAAATACAATAACTTTTTTGGCGAATTTGTTTGGAATATAGTATCTGTTTTACAAAAACATGAATAGTGAGAGTCTGACTGTTTAAATTAAGTTTGCCTTAAAGAAATAAAGTCTTGAAACGTTAGGTGGTGTTTTGTCACTTATTGAAAGTTAAATCATGTTATTTCAAAATTTTCATAAGTCGTATGTGTCATTTATGATTTCGCCGAAAAATAAAAACTGAACATTAGTGTTTGAATTTCATTACCATAATCATCTCGCGAGTATAATAAACATCGCTCTTTCAAATCTTATCTATGGTGACTAAGACTAAACTAAACTAAGCTAATCGGCTACTGCGCAAGCCAGGCTTAGTGTCACTTGAACTCAAAATCTTGGATTTCCGTCTTTTTTAGTTCATATATTTTTTAACTGGATGGATCATCTTCGATACCACTGGACTGATTACACTAGTTTACAAATTTAAACTTTTTTTCGTATCCAAAAATAAAAAAAATATTTTTTACTTCTAAATTATTTACTGATAACAAATCCAAAAACGGATTATCCTTATCACGTCAGGTTTTTTCATAAATCAAAAATAATGAACTTTGCTCTTACCTTCACGTTAGTGTCAAATTGATTCATGTTAAAGCACCATTGTCGTGTAAAAAATGTCTTCGAGATCGTGCAAAGTAAGTGCAAATCAGTTTTGATATGTTTATGGTAAAATTATAGTACCTAAAGCAAGACCTGTTCAAATATGCTTAAAAAGAAGGTATCAAGGATTTTGGGACGAAAATGTGTAACTGTTGGTCTATTATAAGGGAAACTGTCTATACTGTCAATAAAAGAAACGCTACTGTTTATCATTTTTAATTTTCAGTCATAATGTTTATAATATATACTGGGTGTTGCTTTTATTTGATACAACCCCTGTAACTTCTTTATTCTTAAAGATAAACCTGTATTTCTTTGAGCAAATTTGTATCATTTTAAAAGATCTTTGTGAGGCCAACCTCACATTTTTATTATCACTTCCCGTAGAAAAATCAAAAGCAACCAATTATTCTAAAATCAATACTTGAAAAATTTTAAATAAAACATTGATGACAATCTAGTAGCTTGAAAAATTGACACTCATGTTATTTATTTACGTAAATGATCTTTTAAAATGATACAAATTTGCTCAAAAACTATATTTTCATATATATTTAAAAATAAAAACGTTACAAGAGTTGTATAAAAGAAAAGAAATACGCGGTATGTTTATATAAATATCTCAAAAACCTGACTTGATAGATTTTTTCTGCTTTCAGATTTGAATTTCCCGAATCCTTTAGATTCAACTATTTTTGTCTTTGGATATAAAACCTTGTAAACTAGTGTTATCATGAAATATGTAGTAACTATGATGACCTCTGCTTCGCCTCGTCAAAACATTATTTCTGACGTTTTTTCTTCGCCTGTTGGGAAATTTCAGCGGGCATTTCCTGCTAATAACTGTCCTCCTCCTCTACATTTCTCCATAACTAGTTCTCGTTAAAAACAACAGCGCGACGTTTATAAAAGTCTTGTCCGCGCAGAAAACCCTCAGTAACGCTTGATCTTAAGTTGACACAATGGCGCGAAACGACTGCTGTCTTCATTTCTGGGTCGGCTTGATGGCCTTCCTCCAAATCGTAAGTAACTTAAACATCTGAGTGCATCCACTTACCATATTATTTAAGACCGCCGGAGTGTTCAGAATAATCCAAGGACTTATGCTTATCGGAATAGTGGATTCCGAGACGCTGTGTATTTTCTTCTTGTTTGCCGTGGTGTCCTTGGTTAGCGGCTCGTTACTGGCACACGGTGCCCACAAGGTAAAAGTAGCTCATTTGTTAGTTTTCGCTTAACGATTTGTGTTTTAGAAAAAACCCAAGCTAGTTTTCGCCCACATCGTCATAACTGTCATTTGTATGGTTTTGAGTGTAATCGGTTTGCTGATTATAGTCTTTTTCGTGGATGGGTACACGGGGGATAGTCTTGCTATATTGGCTGGGGCTTATGTGGTTGTTCTTTTCATCCTCGTTGGTTTGGAGTGTGCCGTGTACAACTTTTATACAAATCTGAAGAGTGAACTTCAAGATGAGGACACCCAAATGACTTATAAAGTGTGACGAAGAAAATTAACACTCGTGTGAAGCGAGTGTCTGCTGTTTTTATTACGTAACTAGTCTGTATATATCGTTATTTTTTTACTTTTGTTACGTTGAATAGGCGAATAAAATCGGCGTGGCTTAAACTCAACTCGAATTTACTTTACAAAACAATCCCGGCGTGACTCTATTTAAACCCATACTTCGGCGATCAAGGTCTTTCTCGAATTGGGTATTCGCGACTTCCGCTTCCAGGCTTTCCTTTAGTGAACGCCGCCGATGAGTCATACTACATACGAGACGAAACCCATAAGCATCGTACCGGGGCTGCGTATGGGTTAATTTGGTAACATTATTATACAGGGTGAGTATTATAATAATGGAACCCTGACCAAATTTTGAACAGCAAGGAGAGTACCCACGTTGATCCGAAAAACGTATGTGTTAATTTTGGAATCTAGCAATAACTAATAGATGTAGTATGTTGTGCTGCATGTGTAAGAAAAGTGTTTTTGTCGATCATTTCACGATCCACGCTCTTTCCAAACAAAAAATTCGCTAAAGTAAACGGTTGCAAATATTTTCATGTTTCCATATTTTCCCAGAAGACGGAATTAAAAATAAACGGAGGATTTTATCGATGTAAATACACCAGAATGTAATAACAACTCTGCCGCTAAGTGTAAAAATTGGTTGTTTCTGCACGATCTCCCAGACTTACAGTTTTACTCGATCACTCCTCCAAAAAACATGCGTTCTCTCTAGTCGTACTAAGAAAATTTCCAACCACTAAAATGTGGAAGAACAACAAATACCTCAACTATTTGTGCATCGGGGTCGTCATTTTCTCCCAGATCGTAAGTAATTTAACCGTACTACATAATTCAAACCTTCCCCGTGTTCAAGATTAGTGGATTCCTGCAACAAGTTAATTTACTACCTCACCTGAACAAGGAACACGAACACTTGAACAACTTGCATAAAAGCACGCTTCATCTGTGCGTTCTTTTAAATCTGACGGGGATACTCAGCGGTTTTTCACTACTTTTTGCAGTGATTTTGGTAAGGCGACCCTTTCTTGACGAACGACTCAAAATCGATTTTTTTCAGCGACAAACAAAGCTCGTCTTGTGTCACATCACCATGAACGCTGTGTGTGCGGTGGTGGTTCTACTTTATTTCGTAGTGGTAGTGTACCTTAAAAAATTGGTAATTGATTTAGTGTTTGATAGTTTGTTAATTACTACGGCCGTCTATGTCTTCGTTTGTTTTTTGGAGTATTCGGTTTATTTGTACTATAAGGAGATGTTGAAAGAGAGAGAGAAAGAAGATGATGTGACGGAGTTGGTCACGAATGAGTGTGTGACTTAAATTATGGGGTCCATTTTAATATAAGGCAGAAAGTTGTCGTTTTTCTAACTATATTTGTGTTAACTGTTGGAAGAAATACAATAACTTTTTTGGCGAATTTGTTTGGAATATAGTATCTGTTTTACAAAAACATGAATAGTGAGAGTCTGACTGTTTAAATTATGTTTGCCTTAAAGAAATAAAGTCTTGAAACGTTAGGTGGTGTTTTGTCACTTATTGAAAGTTAAATCATGTTATTTCAAAATTTTCATAACTCGTATGTGTCATTTATGATTTCGCCGAAAAATAAAAACTAAACATTAGTGTTTGAATTTCATTACCATAATCATCTCGCGAGTATAATAAACATCGCTCTTTCAAATCTTATCTATGGTGACTAAGACTAAACTAAACTAAGCTAATCGGCTACTTCGCAAGCCAGGCTTAGTGTCACTTGAACTCAAAATCTTGGATTTCCGTCTTTTTTAGTTCATATATTTTTTAACTGGATGGATCATCTTCGATACCACTGGACTGATTACACTAGTTTACAAATTTAAACTTTTTTTCGTATCCAAAAATAAAAAAAATATTTTTTACTTCTAAATTACTTACTGATAACAAATCCAAAAACGGATTATCCTTATCACGTCAGGTTTTTTCATAAATCAAAAATAATGAACTTTGCTCTTACCTTCACGTTAGTGTCAAATTGATTCATGTTAAAGCACCATTGTCGTGTAAAAAATGTCTTCGAGATCGTGCAAAGTAAGTGCAAATCAGTTTTGATATGTTTATGGTAAAATTATAGTACCTAAAGCAAGACCTGTTCAAATATGCTTAAAAAGAAGGTATCAAGGATTTTGGGACGAAAATGTGTAACTGTTGGTCTATTATAAGGGAAACTGTCAGTACTGTCAATAAAAGAAACGCTACTGTTTATCATTTTTAATTTTCAGTCATAATGTTTATAATATATACTGGGTGTTGCTTTTATTTGATACAACCCCTGTAACTTCTTTATTCTTAAAGATAAACCTGTATTTCTTTGAGCAAATTTGTATCATTTTAAAAGATCTTTGTGAGGCCAACCTCACATTTTTATTATCACTTCCCGTAGAAAAATCAAAAGCAACCAATTATTCTAAAATCAATACTTGAAAAATTTTAAATAAAACATTGATGACAATCTAGTAGCTTGAAAAATTGACACTCATGTTATTTATTTACGTAAATGATCTTTTAAAATGATACAAATTTGCTCAAAAACTATATTTTCATATATATTTAAAAATAAAAACGTTGCAAGAGTTGTATAAAAGAAAAGAAATACGGGGTATGTTTATATAAATATCTCAAAAACCTGACGTGATAGATTTTTTCTGCTTTCAGATTTGAATTTCCCGAACCCAAATCCTTTAGATTCAACTATTTTTGTCTTTGGATATAAAACCTTGTAATCTAGTGTTATCATGAAATATGTAATAACTATGATGACCTCTGCTTCGCCTCGTCAAAACATTATTTCTGACGTTTTTTCTTCGCCTGTTGGGAAATTTCAGCGTGTATTTCCTGCTAATAACTGTCCTCCTCCTCTACATTTCTCCATAACTAGTTCTCGTTAAAAACAACAGCGCGACGTTTATAAAAGTCTTATCCACGCAGAAAACCCTCAGTAACGCTTGATCTTAAGTTGACACAATGGCGCGAAACGACTGCTGTCTTCATTTCTGGGTCGGCTTGATGGCCTTCCTCCAAATCGTAAGTAACTTAAACATCTGAGTGCATCCATTTACCATGTTATTTAAGACCGCCGGAGTGTTCAGAATAATCCTAGGATTTATGCTTATCGGAAATGTGGATTCCGAGACGCTGTGTATTTTCTTCTTGTTTGCCGTGGTGTCCTTGGTTAGCGGCTCGTTACTGGCACACGGTGCCCACAAGGTAAAAGTAGCTCATTTGTTAGTTTTCGTTTAACGATTTGTGTTTTAGAAAAAACCCAAGCTAGTTTTCGCCCACATCGTCATAACTGTCATTTGTATGGTTTTGAGTGTAATCGGTTTGCTGATTATAGTCTTTTTCGTGGATGGGTACACGGGGGATAGTCTTGCTATATTGGCTGGGGCTTATGTGGTTGTTCTTTTCATCCTCGTTGGTTTGGAGTGTGCCGTGTACAACTTTTATACAAATCTGAAGAGTGAACTTCAAGATGAGGACACCCAAATGACTTATAAAGTGTGACGAAGAAAATTAACACTCGTGTGAAGCGAGTGTCTGCTGTTTTTATTACGTAACTAGTCTGTATATATCGTTATTTTTTTACTTTTGTTACGTTGAATAGGCGAATAAAATCGGCGTGGCTTAAACTCAACTCGAATTTACTTTACAAAACAATCCCGGCGTGACTCTATTTAAACCCATACTTCGACGATCAAGGTCTTTCTCGAATTGGGTATTCGCCACTTCCGCTTCCAGGCTTTCCTTTAGTGAACGCCGCCGATGAGTCATACTACATACGAGACGAAACCCATAAGCGTCGTACCGGGGCTGCGTATGGGTTAATTTCGTAACATTATTATACAGGGTGAGTATTATAATAATGGAACCCTGACGAAATTTTGAACAGCAAGGAGAGTACTTACGTTGATCCTAAAAACGTATGTGTTTATTTTGGAAACTAGCAATAACTAATAGATCTATGTTGTGCTGCATGTGTAAGAAAAGTGTTTTTATCGATCATTTCACGATCCACGCGCTTTCCAAACAAAAAACTCCTTAAGTAAACGGTTGCAAATATTTTCATGTTTCCATATTTTCCCAGAAGACGGAATTAAAAATAAACGGACGATTTTATCGATGTAAATACACCAGAATGTAATAACAACTCTGCCGCTAAGTGTAAAAATTGGTTGTTTCTGCACGATCTCCCAGACTTAGTTTTACTCGATCACTCCTCCAAAAAACATGCGTTCTCTCTAGTCGTACTAAGAAAATTTCCAACCACTAAAATGTGGAAGAACAACAAATACCTCAACTATTTGTGCATCGGGGTCGTCATTTTCTCCCAGATCGTAAGTAATTCAACCGAACTACATAATTCAAACCTACCCCGTGTTCAAGATTAGTGGATTCCTGCAACAAGTTAATTTACTACCTCACCTGAACAAGGAACACGAACACTTGAACAACTTGCATAAAAGCACGCTTCATCTGTGCGTGCTTTTAAATCTGACGGGGATACTCAGCGGTTTTTCGCTACTTTTTGCAGTGATTTTGGTAAGACGAACCTTTTTTGACGAACGACTCAAAATCGATTTTTTTCAGCGACAAACAAAGCTCGTCTTGTGTCACATCACCATGAACGCTGTGTGTGCGGTGGTGGTTCTACTTTACTTCGTAGTGGTAGTGTGCCTTAAAAAATTGGTAATCGATTTAGTGTTTGATAGTTTGTTAATTACTACAGCCGTCTATGTCTTTGTTTGTTTTTTGGAGTACTCGGTTTATTTGTACTATAAGGAGATGTTAAGAGAGAGAGAGAAAGAGGACGATGTGACGGAGTTGGTGACGAATGAGTGTGTAAGTTAATATGGGGTCCATTTTAACATAAGGCAGAAAGTTGTCGTTTTTCTAACTGTATTTGTGTTAACTGTTGGAAGAAGTACAATAAAATTTAATTTGTGTTTAATTTTTTTATGTTACTAAATTATTAGACATCTGAAATGTAAAAAAATGTCAGTTGATAGCGTTTCTACACATACTCCTCTTATGACTCATCGTGTTTTTGCATTAATTAATTTATGAATGAAATTTCTTGTTTCTTATCAAGGCTTGGTTGGCGTACTTTCCAGCGAGCGCCTGGGAATCGCCAGATCCGATCACGAACTTCCTCCACTTTTGTTGCACAACATTTCACTCGCTGCGGTAATAACGTGTAATCTTACCGGTTTTAATTTAAGATGTTGGTATTCTCTGCAACATTGTTGAAACAGGACGAAGATTGAATTTCTCGACTTCTTGGTATTTTAACGTGGAAATCCCCAATTGGAGGACGTTTGAAGAAACAAAACTGGGGTTTGATAGCAAAATAAACAAATATCAGCAGATACGTTTTTAACTTCTTCATAATTTATAAATAGAGCAAAGTCTGACTGACGAAAAGTTCGCACCGTGAACATCTTGAACTCCACAATGTGCGTAGATCCCACGTGAACCATTATGAATTCCACCGAAAACCCTCCCACGCGTCTCACGTAAACAACTTCATACCCGACGAAGAAAAATATACACTTTCGGCCAGAATTCGCTCCGCGAAATGGGAAAAAACAACTGCTGCATCCATTTTTGTGTCGGTGTTGTGATTTTCTTGCAAATCGTAAGTTCCCGAAACACCCAACTGACCACCCGAAACACCTCTTTTAATTTAAGGTTGGCGGAGTGCATCTGTTCATTCTAACACTAGTGTACGTCGCAAAAATGAAAGCATACCAAGTAGCGTCGATCTTCATAAGTAGCAAAGTGTGCATCGCTAGTGGCGTTTTTCTCCTAATCGGCGTCACAAAAGTGAGACCTACTTCACTTGAAACTCCCTACTTAACTCTGATGTGTTTCAGCGCAAACTAAGGTTCGTTAACGTTCATATCGCCATTACGGTTGTGTTTATGGTTACGGGGTACATGGGGTTCACGTTTAGACTCTACATGGTGACGATGGACCCGTACACCGCGATTGTGGTGTTCTCGATTTTCGCGGGAGCGTACATTTTCATGGGTGTGATGGAATATACTGTGTATTTGTACTATAAAAACTTGAAGAGAGAATTAGAAAGTGTGTCTAACGTTTGAACTAACCTTTTTTAATTTTCTGTGTGTGCAAACTAAACTAGGTGTAGGTTATTTTGGGGTTCACCCACATTCACGAGACGACGCTTGTAAACACAGTGTGACAGAACGCATCATTATATAACGTGTTTTGTAACATACTTAAGCCACATTTTGACACAGCCTGCATACTAATTAAATCCTCTGAAAACACTTTAATTGAATCTACACTTTCTTTACAAATTTAAATGACTTAAGTAATTTGACTTAGAAAAATAGAGACGAATGTAGAGGGAAAACCGAACTCCAGTTGGGTCACTGTTAAGTGTGGTACGAGCCGACCCAAGGTTACACAAGCCCCGGCTCCTTCTGAAGTGCCGGTACTTACGTGTCAGGTTTTTACAGTCACCTTCATTCGGCGGTGTCTGGACACTCAAGCCGATGTAACCTAAAACTAGAGATGCGCGATATTTCACTACCGGTGATTATTTCACCGTGATCTGTTTGTCACTGTTGGTAACCCTGACGTGATTTTCCGTTCCTCCGCGAGAGAATATAGAAACCGTTCCCGCCATCACCGTCCAAATCACGGTGACAAGAAAGAATCGTGAATAGTCGCGGTTAACGCCGGCGCCGTGATCACTACTTTCGTCGCTCGCCGCTACTTGATAGATCACCCTGACAAAATCACTGTTTAAAGTGATACTGCATAAAATTGAAACTTTGTGCCAAATGTTACCCGAAGACAAGATGTCGAAAAGCAGTTGCTGCATCCAGTGTTCCGTCGGCTCCATGATTTTTCTTCAAATAGTAAGTGTTTTCTGTGTTTACACTTTCCAAATTTGTTGTTTTTAGCTAGTCGGATTCATACTTTTGTTGACGACGTTCAGTCGTCACTCGCAGACTGATAGTTATCACAAGAACCTACGACTGATGACGTATTGTCTGCTTGTTTCGGGGATAATACTGGTTGTTAGTAGTGTGTTGTTGCTTTCTGGAGTTATATGGGTAAGTCGCCGAACAATCTATTCACTGTTATAGGGGTTGTTGCAGCGTCAACCCAAATGCTTTCTGGCGCACTTGGCGATCGACGTCGTTATAATAATCTTGGTTGTAATATTTATTGGAATCGCGACTTATAACAACGGTGGAGATCCAGAAGTCGTACTGTCCATGGGTTTCGCCCTCGCAATTCCAGTAGCGGTAATGTGCGCTCTGGATTATGGTGTGTACTGCTTTTATAAGAGAGTGGTTGCCGATAAACGACAACAACAACAGAATATGTATGAATTATGTAGCACTGATATTAATAGTTAATAAAGACTGTAGATTATTCAGGACGCGTTGCCCGCTTAGCCACAAAACCCAATATAATCAAAATCCTTTGTTCTAAAGGTGTGACGAAATCTTCACCTTGCACATGAATGAATTTAAAGGTGAAAGCAAAAATAAAGCGTCCGTCTTCTAACCTAACTGAAGACAGAGAAATAAAATTAAAATGACACAATACAAATTCTGGTGAAGTTCAGATGGAGTCAAGGCCAACGTGGTTGCAGCAGTTTTTAACGTACGACGACACTGAAGTGGTTATCAGTTAGCCAAAAACTTAACACCTTAAAAATTTAACCGGAAATTTAACTTAATTGTGCTTTGTGTAGTTTTAATAAACCCAGTGTTGTGCACACTAACAAATTAACCTAAAATTTGGTAAAAATAAAACATTTATCGCATTGTTATCAACTCTTGCAAAATTAGTAAAGCAATGTCGAAAAATAATTGCTGCACTCAAAGTTGTGTGAGTTTTTTGATTTTCTTTGAAATGGTAAGTGTTTTACACCCTCCGTATCCATTTTAAACCCTCGTTTTCAGCTTTTGGCATTTCTGATTCTGTACGTGTTCTTACGTGCTCGTGCGAACTACACCGATTGTAGGTACCCATATAGGGATGACTTCATTCAATCAGATGAAGACTCAGAAGGGCCGGAACTACGAATCACTTTCGTAGCTGCATTCCTCTTGCTCACAGTTAGTAGTTTGTTGCTACTTTTTGGCGTGATAGGGGTAAGTCGAACTAAAACCCTCACACTTTAACAAAATTAATTTCAGAGGCACCCGAAACCAATTGTGGCCCATTTAGTTCTAGACGCTCTTGTAATAATACTAATTATGATTTTCTTGATCATGTCCGCGTTATTCTTAGTGGTGGTACCATTAGGTTTAATGTGTGGCCTAAATTTTGGCGTGCTCGTCTACTACAGAGGAATGGTTGCTGAGAACCGACAACCACAAGCAAATACATACGAACTTTGTAACACACCGGCGGTCATTTAATAAAATCCAAAACATTGATGTTTGTTTCTGTTCAAAACACTCTTTCAAACTTCCTATATTGAGGGCGAATGACCGAACAAAGAGACAGGAAAAACTGGAGTAGTCGACTTTAGCGTCAGAATGTCTGCCGCCTTGTAGCTAGCAACATGTTAAGTTAGTAAGTGCAGAATGTCGGAAACTATTTTTAATTCTTCACGTTTGTGTGCTTTTATGATGGCTTTCGTCTCCCCTGTAAGTACGCAATCACTGGTGAATTTAACGTAGTTGTTGTATTTCAGATCGCTGGAGCTCTTATGCTCATGGTGTCACTGATCAAGCTTGCGTTGTTTTTAAGCCCCAAAACCGACACCGGTCCGATGGATATTAATTCTTTAATTATTTGCAGCACAGTCGGCATTATACTTATCAGTAGTGGGTTTATCCTGTTGCTAGGACTGATCAAGGTAATTTGATTTAACATCGTTGTTTAGATTTTGTAATTGTGTTTAAGGAGAAACCCAAGTTAGTTTTTGTACATCTAGTGTTGAGCACCCCAAGTCTGGTCTACTTGATGTGCGAAGTCGTGTTCATCGGATTTTTGGAGAAACATTTCAAGTTTTTTGTAATTGTATTCAGTGCTTTACTGTTGTGCGACCAGTTGTGTGTTTTAGTTTTTTTTCTATTAGTTGTGAGAAAAGACAGGACTGAGAGTATCGAGAATCTTATTATATACTACGAAGTAGGGTGCTTTAGCAATAGTGTATCCAGAGGTAGTTCTCTTGATAGCGTAAGTCTTTAGTCCCCAGGGATCAATGTAATAATGTAAATATTTTTAATAAAAATTACAAAAACCCAACTAGTTTCTTATTCCAATGGTTGCAGAAATCGTAACGATCTCTGTTCCATAAGAACCGACTATAAACGAATACAGGCTGTTCCAGATGTCGAAGACCATTTTTATACTTTCATGAAAACTTATTCTGTCGTAGTCCGAACGCCTGAAATTATGTCACCTGAAAATTATAGTCATGAAGTCTGTTTTAGGAAGTCAATTTTCGAATTGAAACCGCTGAAACTAAAAACCTGCTGGTTAATATTTTTCTAAATTTTCTACTCACCCCTCCAAAATCAATACCCTAGCTGCCAGAAAGAGACACCCACATCCAGCAAACAAATCTTCCAGGGCGCCAAGAAGTCTGGCGTCTCTCGCCGTCGATAAACCCTCTCAGTTTGGCCGTCACCCATGTTTCAACACCACCTAACGCACCCGAACTTCGAAAAATGACGCGACACTTCTGCCTGTGTTTAAGTTTGAAGACCGGTGCCATCATCATGTCCTTCCTCAACCTAGTGAGTACGTCTTCAGCCCCGAAAAAAAACTAACCCTTTTTCTAGCTCGAAGGCAGCGTGGAAATCGTGGTTTCGCTGATCGAGTTATCCTCCGACATGGAAAGCAAGGAGGCACTGCACCGACTAGGGGAGCACGCTGACGCCTTGGACGCCGTCTGCAACGTCACCCATTTCTGCAACGGGACCGCGATCCGAAACACCGGGCAGAGCAGGCACTTGGGAATGGAAGGGACCATCACGATGTTCAGCGTGTGTCTAATCGTGGGGTTGTTGTCGCTGTTTAACGGGGTGTTGCTGCTGATTGGGTTGATGCAAGTGGGTGAGTACGGGTGCAGGTGGCTGACACTGAGAGTTGGTTTCAGGCGAAAGAGAAATACGTCCTGTGGTATGTGCTACTGGGGTCTGTTGTGGTTTTGATCGTGACGATTTTCTCCGGGATTTACATGTTCGAGCACGGGGCCATATTGCTGCTCTTCGTGCTGTCACGTAAAGTTGGTGAGTTGTGTGGGTTTTTGCTAATGAGACGGTTTTAGTGTTCATGTGCTACGGGCAGCTAGCTATGTACCATTTTTACGAAGAATTGGCTGAGTACAACACCGTCAAATCAGGGGTGATTGAGATTTCGTACAACGGAGATGCCAGAAGCTATGCTAATTCGGTGGTGCCTACGGACGACAAAGTCGACAGTACTGCTCTTTAAACTTGAAAATTTTACCGTTCCGTGACAATAAAAGCATACAAAGTCATTCAATCCTTGAGTAATTGTATTATTTCAACAAACAATGGTGCTTCATCGATTCACTGTATTGTAGTCTTCGCCATGTTTAAAACACGTCGTTTCGTTGAAAACTCCACAATAACAACAAGTTTCGCTTGTGTGTCAATCACCACAACTTTCCTATTTGGTTTGTGGGACATCGTTGGCAAAACTAAAACTTTGTACAGGGTGATTCCAACAACAAGTGCAGCGATGGATATAACGGCCGACTTTCTAGCAGCCACTGTGTTAATCCTCAACACTGGATCCACCCTCATCCTCCATCACGACAAGGTTAAAAAAAATCACAACTCGTTCGAAAAAATCGACAATTTTCTTCAAATCGCCAAAACTCGGAACGACGACTCAAAATTTGTCAAAGTCTGTGTACACTGTGCTGCTTTTTTGACTTTCGCCGTAGACATATACTCCAGGAAGGGTGCTTACGGATGGGACAACTACAAGTACAACCTCGCCGCCTTGTTTCACTTGTACCGACTGCAACTTTTCGTGTTACGAATTTATAACCTGACTGCTAAAATTAGCGAACGGTTCGAACTGTTGCACCAAAAAATCGACAAAATCGTGAAAAGTGGTGACAAAGATTTGGCGATTCCGAGGCTACTAACGTGTATGAAAGTCCACTACGTTTTGAGTAAAATAATGAAGAATATTAGCAGTCTCTACGGATGCCAGTTCGTCCTGGTGCAAAAAATGCTCGCGCTGTATATAGTTGCGTCCATCTATTTTTTCTATTTGGTGTCGCACAAAGGTATACTGCTTCACATAAACGAAGCTTTCTGCTATGTTCTATGGGTGACAATTTTTTTTATGATTTGTGGCTTCTTGTTGGTGTTTTCTTGTGATAGAGCGAACAATCGAGCGACGGCTGTGGCTAAATCGTGCCAGGATATCATCAGGATGTCTTCTGTGGACCCCAGATTGAAAAAGTTGTTGAAACAATTTGTGCGTCAGATAAGGATCGTCAATCCGAAGATCTGTTACCCTGACGAAGGCCGTGTCAGTCGCAAAACGTTCATAAGAATGACTGGAAATATTATCAACTATTTAATAATTGTGTTCCAGTTTGATAATTGAATTGAAATAAACTGTATTGTTGAAAACTAGTTTTTATCTTGGAAAAGTAAGCAACTCAGAATACAGCGGTATTTAACGTGTCACCTATACCTCAAACGCTGCAAACGTCTGCAACTTTTCCCCAATTTCATCAAAATTATCCTATTAACCAATTGTTGTTGCACTTAGATGATAAAATCCTACAAGTTTGCACAACAAATCAGCGATTACTGATTCGTAAATAGGAAGCAAAAGTGTAAACAAGTTAATCGAGTACATTTAAATAATGAAAATCAATATAAGTTATTTGGAAATTGTTTGTTCAATTGATTCAACAAAAACGGGCCACTTTAAGCGTACTTTTTTCAGAATGGCGGAATCGCTTTACAGAAAAATTTGTATAATAACTTGCGCTATGGTAACTATAGCGTTCTACTTGTGGCATCTCGTCGGAAAAATAATTTATATATACGTTTCTACGCCGTCTGCAGTTGCCGTTTTAGACGCGTTAGCGTCTTGTCTGGTTGCAGCAATTTGTGTTATAAACCCTTTGTCGAGATTCCTCTTCAACAAGGAAAAATTTTGCACACTTCGACGGGTCTTGAAAAAAATCGACAACTTTCTAGCAGTGGGTAAAAACGACTGCAAAATTAAAACCACTAGAACCAAAATCGTGGTTCAGAGTTTCCTTGTATTATCTTGCGCTGGCGATATGTACACCAAAATCAGAAACATCGGCTACGACAGTTATAAATACAACTTCGTGAATATATTTTTTTTGCAGTGGTTGTCATTCTTTGTTTTGTGGTTCTTCGACTTTAGTAAAACCGTTAGCAATCGACTGGTTCTCCTCAATAAAAAAATCGAGAAATTGGTTACCGTTGAAGACCATGAAAGTTTTAGACAAACTTTCAACTGCATGAAGTGCCACTTTGCCTTGTGCGAGATTTTCGAAAGTCTAGGCGAAATCTGCGGCTGGCAAATTTTGATGCTACAGAAGATGTGCGCTCTATACATGGTCGAAACGATTTTCTACTGCTACACTTATTTCCAACACGGGGGGATGTGTCACATTTCGGACATAATATGCAACATTTTGTGGACCGTAACATTTTTGGTAGTACCAATTTTGGCAAAAAATCGCTTTTGTTTGAACGATTTTTCCAGATTTACGCCGCTTTGGTTTTGTTTGCGTGCGACAAAATCAACCGAGAAGCAAATTCCACGCTTCTGCTGTGTCAGAACGTGATACGGAGCACCAAAGATAAAACCCTGATGAGGAAACTTGTGAAACACTTCGCTAGACAAATCGGGATGGTCAATTCGCAGTTTCGTTGCCCTTCGGAGCTGGTTTTGGACAAAAAGACGTTCCTCAAAATCCTCACCTACGTGATCAACTATTTAATCATAGTGTTCCAGTTCGACACCTAACATGGCCGAATCCTTCGTCAATTCTGCGTTTCAAAACTTCGCTTATTTGTAAATAGCTGATAACTCACCAAAAATTAATGATGTTGTTTTCTGGTGGATAGTAAAAGTGATTACGTCAATCGAAAATTCGTTTTTTAAATATTTTTTACAATGATTACCTTATATTCAGCGTGAGCTGATCTGACTGACATTCTTCAGTCGCTATCAACACAAACAAATTAATTTATTGCAGTTTTAGCACATTCTCTTGATTTATTAGACGTAATTCCGAGAGTTCATGTCAAAATAATGCGTTTTGTCATTAAATTTGGCAATCTCTATTTTCGGTACGAATTCCAAATGTCGTCGCCCACATTTACGTGTTATCTGGCTCGATAAAGAGCTACTTTAAGACATCTCAGAGCGAATTAAGCGCTTTTTTTCATTTCTTGATGCAAAACAAAAATATCACAAGACAGGGTTCGTCGTAACCCAATGTTTCGAAACAATAAATACGCCGAATTTTAAAAATTGATATTAGATAATTTTTTGGCACGACGTCATCAACGTTCCGGAGGGGAAAGCGAACCAACTTTTAGTGTTCCACTTGGTTTCTACCACAGTACAATTTTTTTCATTAAGACTTGCATTAGTCACGCGATCTTTGGATTTAGATCACTTATCTAAATTAACGAGCTTCCAGGAACCCAAGCCACAAACAAAAAGCTTTGTTTGTTTTAAAAATGTTTGTAACATGATAGTGTTAAAACTCTTCGACTGGTTCGTCCTCGGCGTCCATCAAATTCTAGCCCTTCCACTAGCCGTGACCTACCCCGACTCGCGTAACCCCCACCACAAATACTACGCCCTCATACTAATCGTCTCCATCGTCTATTTAACCCTATGGCAACTCTCCGGCAAGTCCGAAAAATTCTACGCCTCTTCGCGAGCCACCATCGTCGTCCTCGACGCCTCCGCCGCCGTCCTCATCGCCGTCTTCGCCGTCTACGACACCATCAGCCGCACCTTCGTCAACGACAACCGCATCCGCATCTTCTTCGCCAAGTTGCGCAAAATCGACAAATTTTTAAACATCCCCCATGTCCCCAACTACTTCATGAAAGGCGTCGCCATCCACAGACGCGCCCTCCTCGGTATCCACTTCATCTTCCTCGCCACCGTCTCCTACGACGTCTACTCCAACCCCCACTTCGCCAAGTACAACTCCCCCAACTTCGTCCTCAAGTACCAAATCATGTGGTTCATCGTGCACCTGCACATGGTCGCCACCGCACTCCGCACCCGTTTCGGCCTCATCAACCGCAAGTTCCTCGCCCTCATCAGGAACCCGAGTCCTGAAGTGCAGGCGGTCGGTTGCATGAAGTACCACTTCATGCTGTGCGACGTCATCACCAACATTAACAAAACGTATAGTTTTCAGATTCTGATAATCGACAAGATTATTGCGGTGAACGTGGTCAAAACGAGCTATTTGTGTTTGCTGTCGGTCACTGACGACCAAGCGAAGTTTAGTATCGCCGCATTCGTGACCAATTTTCTTTGGAGTGTGGACTTTATGGTGAGTATGTGAGTGTCGGGGACACTGGTTTTGGAGTGGTTTTAGCTCGGGGCGGCTTTGATTTGCTTCTCGTTGGGGAAGGCGAACGAACAGGCGGAGTTCCCGGTGGTGATGTGCCAGAATTTGTACAAGGAGTTTCGAGGGGATGAGGAAAGGAGGGAGATTTTGATGCACTTTTCGAGGCAAGTGGTGGCCACCAAGAGGGAATTCTGTGCGCTGGGGTTTCTTCCCGTGAATTATGGGTTGTTTGTTAAGATGTTGACGAGTATATTTGATTACATTATCATAGTTATGCAGTTTGAAGAGTGATGTGTAAAGATTTTTGTAACTGGTGGACGAAACATTGATAAGGAATATGCTGCTGCTGAAATGTTTATCATGTTGTTGTTTCAAATTAAACTGAACTTGTTTATGTTGCACTGAAGACTAAGTAAATTAGGTAACTTTGGTACTTTCGTAAGCGGTAGACCTGAGCGGTAGGAATGTTCCGTAAATAAAAAAATTAAAGTAATTGTGCAAACAAGACGTGTCATGAAAACGCATTTGTTTGTAATATGTTACCTCCCAACCGTATCTAATGAAATTTTAAACGTACAACAATAAAAATATTGAACGGTTGTAGAAAAATTTTCAGACACTCGTTAAAATGTATATCATCAAGTTAGTCGAATTTTTGCACAAAATTTTAGCGATTCCATACCTGAAGTCACCCGACAACCCTACAAGCACCTACCGAAAAGTGTACTGTTTTCTCTTGATGTTAGGTGTGATTTATTTGAGCATTTGGCAACTGAGTGGAAAATTCGGGGATGTTTACCCCATATTCAAACCTTCAATCGTCCTACTCGATATCATGGTTTGCATTCTAATAGCATTCTTCGACATATACGACAACACAGTTCGAATATTCCTCAACGAAAAACAGTTTTGCCGCTTCTACCAAAAGTTGAAACGAATCGACCAATTTTTGGGTCTATCAGCAACCAAGAGCTACTTCTTTAGCG